TGAAACTCTGTTTAAAAAAAAAATATATATATATATATATATATATAACTGTTTTTCAAGATTTACTCTGCAGAGCTCAATGAATCTTCCTCAAAGGTATGTCTTCTTTAGCATTGAGAGACACTGGAACTCCATTTATACTTTCTCTTCCTTCCAACTTGAATCCTTTCCCTTCAGTCAAAGAAGTACCATTTTGACAATTTTTAATAATTATACTGGAGTTCTGCTAAATATTTTAAAGTGGTATAAGAAGATTATACCATTAAAACAAACTATCCAGACGAAATTGTTTCAAACCTGATATACTTCATAGTAATTGGTAGGGTCAAGTTTCAACAAGACTTGTATTTGATTTAATTTTGAGGTTAATATACAACTTAAAGCAATTTTAACAACTGAGTTTTTCATTTCAGGTTTCCAGGAAATATAAACAACTTACCCAGAATGACTAGATGATGAAGGTGGTGGCAAATCTGGTGTAAGGACATAAAGACTGTTGTTTTTTGGCAAATGTAGCGATTTTAGGACCGTCTGAAAAAGAAAAAAAAAAGCAAAAAATGAATGTTGATTACTCATTACTGATTTTTCCTACAATTCTTGAAAAATTGTTAATTTTGTAGTTCGATTTTTTCAGCTTTTGATAATTTCCTAAATAGGCTAATGCAAACGAACTACTGAATCCAAGTAATCTTATTGCCCATATATATAATATATATATATATATTATATATGGGAATATGGTTGTATACCTATATACATTATATGTATACAACATTCAGGTTTATGTTAGTTTATTTTATATATGTATATGTATACATATATGTGTGTATATACATATGTATCTGTGTGTGTGTACATACATGTGTGTTTATATATGTATATATGTGTATATACACTCATATACATATATAAAATAAACTAGCATAAACCTGAATGTTAATATACAAACTCTTCAGCTCATGAAGCAATACAAATAGATAAGAACACAGTTGGGACTCAATTACTTTTTCACTGAAGTAGTAGATCCTTGCAACTAATATATACTTCGTTTCAGGGTCATCATAGCAAAAATTGGTAATATAGGTTTTCAGAGATCATTAGACCTTGAAAAGATCACTGAGAGCACCTCAAGTCAATGATTTTATAGATGGGAAGCTATATAGCCTAAGAGGTTAAGTAACTTGGATGAGGGCTCTAGTGTTACCTAGATATCTTTTACTCCAGATATCTTTTTTGTTAAAGCTCTCTCTCTCTGGAATTAATAAATTACTATTGGACTACATATGACCTACTATCTTGATACGCATAGAAAATTTCATTCACTAAATTTCTTTGCAGAAAACTCACATATATTTCAAACTACTAACCGGAAGGTAAAAACTTGCTGAAGTACTTCAAACTTTTCTTGACAGCAATACACACTAAGAAATACATTGTACATCTTTACATCATAAGCCAGGAAATGCACTTATTCAACAGATATTTATTGAGCCACCTACTCTGTACCAGGACTACTCTAGCCACTGAGAATACAGCATTGAACAGAATAGCCTAAAATAAAATTCTCTGATCTTAGGGAGCTTACATTTGAGTAGGAATAAATAAAACAAGTAACCCTGTATAGCTGAATGTTGAAGGTGACAATTTTTTGACTAAAAATAAAGCAGGGAAGGGAGGATAAAGAATGTGGGGTTGGGGAGCTTGGCAATTTTGAACAGGGTGATGAAGGTGGGTCTCACTTGGAGAATGTGACATTTGAGCAAAAACTTAAAGGTGAAGGAAACAAACCATGAGAATATATAAAGAAATAATATATTCCTTCCTGGGGAGGGGCAACTTAACACAAGCATGGAACATAAGGAACTTATTCTTAACTCCTCCATGAGAGGACCCAGCTTATTAAGTGTGCAGTCTTAATCCAAAGGTATTGAGACTTACTCTTGACTCATACTAGTTATCTGTTAAATGAAAATAAATACATAATTACCCTTATTATATGAAATACACTGTGGCATTTCCTATTGTATTCTATTTCTCTTTTTTCATTTCTTTCTTCTTCCATTTTTTTGTTTTTGTTTTTGTTTAATGATGTTGACTATAACCCACTCAATTAACTTCTCAATCCACTAATGGTTTATGGTCCATGGTTTGAAAAAAACACTGCATTAGGCAATTACCTGTAACTTTACAATCTGCCAGGAGACATGGATATCCTGAAATTTATGTCAAATATGTGATATCCTTTTGAAATTGATGAGTTATCTCTATAGAGTTAACATGCAAACATTACAACACACTCACACACAAATTATTTTTCTCTTTTTATCTTTCATTGTTTTACTCTGCGAATTATTGGTAAATGCTTGCCATTTGATCAAGTCATTATTGTTCTTTTCCCATGCCACTATCCAAAGATTTTCTATTAAATCTTTCCCATCAAACCACATATGGCAAGATTAAATAAAATGGATACTTTCCTTAAGTCATTTACTCATGCATTCATCCCATAAACATTTATTTCAGGTGTGTTATGCCAGGTATTAAATATACGATGATGAAAGAAACAGATATGGTCCCTCTATTAATACTGGTGTGATGGAGAATGCTGGAATGGGACCAAATTAGATACAGAAGCCTGTTGGAGAAGGTAACCTTAAGCTGAGACTTGAATTATGAAAAAGAGCCACCCATGTGAAGAACGGGAGGTAAAGCATTCCAGGCAGTTGAATAGCATCTGTCAGACAAAGATGTAAAGAGCTTGAGCCTATTAAAATATTTCAAAAAAGGTTTCTGTGGCTGCAGCATGGAAAGTGAGAGTAAGAAAGGCTCAAGATGATGTTGTAAAGGTGAGAATGGGGTAATACAATACTTTTTAAACTATTGTGAGTAGTCTGAATTTTATTCGAAATGTAACAAAAAAGCTATGTTTTAATGAGAGAGTGATATAATTCAATTTATGTTTTTAAAAGATCACTCTGACTGCTGTGTGGAGAATGCACTGGAAGAAACACTGAAAGGAAGCTGAGACAACAACAATGAAGTTACCATATTGCTCCAGACAAGAGATGGTCATGGCCTGAATTAAGCAGTTGCAATTTAAATACTAAAAAGTGGCCATGGTTGAGATACATTTTAGAGATCGAATCTATAGAATTTACCAAAGGATTAGGTGCTGTAAGAAATGAGAAAAGACGGATGGCCAAATGTTTGGATTCAGTGGTGGCTATAATCGTTCTGCCACTTATTGGGGGAAGATTGGTAGAGATATGGCATAGGGAGGGAAAATCAAGAGTTCCATTTTAAACATGTTAAGTTTGAAACACTAATAAGATACACAAGTACAAAAGTCAATTACCAATTTGGATATGTGAATTCAAAAAAGTATGAGCTGGAAATATAAATTTGGAGGCAATCAGAAAATTAATGGCATGGGAATAGCAGAAATCTCCTAGCGAAGACTACATAGAAATAAGTAACTAAGGCTGGGTGCCACGGCTCATGCCTGTAATCTCAGCACTTTGGGAGGTCAAGGCAGGAGGACTGCATGAGCCCAGGAATTCAAGACCAGTCTGGAAAACATAGCAAGACCCTGTCTCTACAAAAATTAAAAAAAAAAAAAATTAGCCAGGCGTGGTGGTGCACATCTATAGTCCTAGCTACTTAGAAGGCTGAGGTACAAGGATCACTTGAGTCTAGGAGGTCAAGGCAGCAATGAGCCATGATTGTACCACTGCACTCCAACCTAAGCAACAGGGTGAGAACCCATCTCATAAAAAGAAGAAAGTAGTAAATTTGTAACCAAGACTGTGTTCAAATTTTGGGGGGATTGGGGGTAGGGGAGACAGACTCTTGCTCTCTCGCCCATGATGGAGTGTAGTGGCACACTCTCAGCTCACTGCAACCTCTACCTCCCAGGTTCAAGCGATTCTTGTGCCTCAGCCTCCCGAGCAGCTGGGACTACAGGTGTGCACCACCACGCCCAGCTAATTTTTATATTTTTAATAGAGACAGGGTTTTGTCATGTTGTCCAGGCTGATCTCAGACTCCTGGCCTCAAGTGATCTGTCTGACTCAGCCTCCCAAAGTGTTGGGATTACAGGTATGAGCCACTGCACCCAGCTGACTGATTCATACCCACAGGTTTCTCAATGAATGAATGAATAAATAATATAATTATGAAAACGAATTCATTTTGGTGTTTTCTTTCTGTCAAGGTTGCTGATTTACTCGGTCAGCACTTTTAAAAAGTTTTAATCCATGCATCAATTAGAATGGCCATACAACAGCAGGGGATATCAAACTATGGCCTGGGGGTCAAACCCAGCCTGCTGCCTGTTTTTGTATGGCCTGTGAGTTAAGAATGGTTTTCACTTTTTTTAAGAGTTGGAAAATAAATCAAAAGAGTATTTTATGGCATGTGAAATTACATAAAATTCAAATTTCTGCATCAATAAACATACTGAAACACAGTTACGCTCAATGTTTCACATATTGTCTATGGCTGCTTTCCCACTAAGAGAGCGGTGATTAAGTAGCTGCATGGCACACAAAGCCTAAAATATTTACTACCTGACTTTGTACAGAAAAAGTTTGCTGACACCTAATACAGCACTTCTAAACTTACCCGTATCTTCCCAACCCAAAATTCCTGTAAATATCTCACTGAAATACTCAGAACATCTCCAAATTTCAAATGAACTCACATTTAAGTACTTATAGGCACAATCACTACAAGAAGCCATTCACGAAGAAGAATTGAACCAAAAGTTGAAGTTTTTTTAATTTTTATTTATCTTTTTTTTGAGACAGGGTCTCGCTCTGTTGCCCAGGCTGGAGTGCAGTGGCACGATCTTGGCTCACGGCAGTCTCCACCTCCCAGGTTCAAGCAATTCTCCCACCTCAGTCTCCCGAGTAGCTTGGATTACAGGGGTACGCAACCATGCCCAGATAATTTTTGCAATTTTAGTAGAGATGGGGTTTTACCATGTTGGCCAGGATGGTCTCGAACTCCTGACCTCAGGTGATTCACTTGCCTTGGCCTCCCAAAGTGATAGGATTATAGGCGTGAGCCACCGCGCCCGGCCAAAAGTTGAAGATTCTAAGTCTATGCCTGGCCATTAAAATGACCCAGTAACAAATGTGAAAACATTCAATAATTATTTCCACTTCAAACATCTAAAACTTGAGAGCTAACTCATTTTTTTTCCTTCTTTCTCCACTCTCTCTGGAAGAAAAAAAAGTGTGTAAGGCCAGGCGCGGTGGCTCACACCTATAATCTCAGCACTTTGGAAGGTCGAGGCAGGCAGATCATGAGGTCAGGAGGGAGTTCAAGACCAGCCTGGCCAACATGGTGAAATCCCATGCCTACTAAAAATGCAAAAATCAGCTGGGCATAGTGGCATGTGCCTGCAGTCCCAGCTACTCGGGAGGCTGAAGCAGAAGAATCGCTTGAATCCTGGAGGCAGAGGTTGCAGTGAGGAAAGATCGTGCCACTACACTCCAGTATGGGCAACAAAGCGAGACTCTGTCTCAAAAAGAAGTATAAAAAATTTTATATCTGAGGTTGCTACTGGGACCCTGAGAATAGCAATTATTTCCTTAAAATTGCAACACTCTCTGCAAATTCTTAAAATATAATTCATCCCATGCACTTGCCACTATCCAAGTCAACAAGGAAAACAACATTCTTATTTAAATTCTCAGTTTAAAAAATTTCCTATTATCTTTGTTCCACAATCAATACTTGACATAAATGTATACATTGCATGTGACTTCTTTCAGACCAATATGTAATTGCTCAGAAAATTATTATTCCAGGGCATTCTCTGATACTCTAGGAGGTTTGAAAAAAAGGTAAAGGCTCCCAAAAAAAGGGCCAAACTCCTTTAAAAGTTAGAAATAGGAAAAACATACCATATACTGTTTTCATTTACAAATCTACTCATTTACAATTGTTATTGGTTTATCATGAAATATTTTAGCTTAGAAAACACTACTTGCTGAATCCTTAAACTAAATTACTATTGCCAAATCTACTTCTGCCATATGTAACAACATTAATAAAAACCAATTTTTACGTATCATTTAATCAGTGGCATAACTTAATTTCTATGTAATTAAAAAACTCACACTGTCTTCCACATCTCCCGTCTTCCAGCCTTTTAACAGCATTTTGGACACAGGTATCTGAAGTTCATTTTCCAGAATCTGTTTAATCTCTCCTGTATAAATAACAAGAGATCAAATATTACTAACAAAATAACACAGTTAACATTTGTCCATATCCAGAGCTAACACTAATATGTGGCATATAGTGTACAGTCAATCACATTTGTCTGATGAATATTTCTGTATCTATAAAATGGGAAATAATATTATTTATCTTATCTTGCCCTAGGATCTGAGGATGACAAAAGATAGCATACATTAATGAAACTAAAAAATAAAGCTAGGCTGGGTGTGGTTGCTCATGCCTGTAATCCCAGCACTTTGAGAGGCCAAGGTGGGCAGATCACCTGAGGTCGAGAGTTCAAGACCGGTCTGACCAACATGGTGAAATTCTGTTGAAACCCTGTCTCTACTTGACCGGGCGCGGTGGCTCAAGCCTGTAATCCCAGCACTTTGGGAGGCCGAGACGGGCGGATCACGAGTTCAGGAGATCGAGACCATCCTGGCTAACACGGTGAAATCCCGTCTCTACTAAAATACAAAAAGAAAAAAAAAAAATTAGCCGGGCGAGGTGGCGGGCGCCTGTAGTCCCAGCTACTTGGGAGGC